ATGGAGATATTTGTGGGCCTATTCACCCCGCAAGTGGACCATTTAGATACTTTATGGTACTTATAGATGTATCAACCAAGTGGTCTTACGTGTGCCTTTTGTCCACCCGCAACTTAGCTTTTTCAAAGCTATTGACACAAATTATTAAGTTGCGGGCTCATTTCCCCGATAATCACATCAAGAAATTACGTTTTGATAATGCGGGAGAATTCACTTCACAAGTCTTTCAAGACTATTGCCAAGCAACTGGCATCGAAGTTGAACATCCTGTAGCACATGTTCACACCCAGAACGGGTTAGCAGAATCTCTAATTAAGAGATTGCAATGGATTGCTCGTCCATTGTTGATGCAATCACAGTTGCCTGTTGAGGCTTGGGGTCATGCAATATTGCATGCAGCATCACTTATCAGAATACGGCCCTCTGGTGGCCATATTTTGTCACCAATGCATCTTGCTTATGGTGCACCTCCGAATATCTCACATTTGAGAGTGTTTGGTTGTGCAGTTTACATCCCCATTGCTCCTCCACAAAGGACCAAAATGGGTCCACAGCGTCGTTTGGGTATCTATATAGGGTTTGATTCGCCCTCTATAATAAGATACCTTGAACCCCAGACGGGTGACGCATTTAAAGCACGTCTTGATGATTGTGAATTTGTTGAGGATTCATTTCCTAAACTTGGCACACAGTCCAGGAAGCCTGATGCTTCTAAGACCATTTCTTGGAACACCAAGACTTTGTCTCATTATGATCCGCGTACTAGTCAATGTGAAGATGAGATCCTGAAGATTCTTCATCTTCAGAATACAGTACATTTACTTCCGGATAAATTCACTGATAACCAGAAGATTGTCAGATCACATGTCCCTGCTGTCAACACGCCAGCTAGGATTGACATCCCCAAAGATGGATGCAATCCGCCGGCAGCAGAAATGGCTGTACCTCAATTGAAAAGAGGACGCCCACCAGGTTCGAAGGACAAAGTCCCTCGTAAAAGAAAAAATCCTGGAGAAATAAAAATGAACCCAACACAGGATACTGAGCTCAGACCAGCTTCCTCTCCCCTCCTAGATTCCCCTGAAGAGGAACAAATAGGAGAAACATCATTAAATTTTGTACTGAGCTCAGACCAGCTTCATCTCCCCTCCTAGATTCCCCTGAAGAGGAACAAATAGGAGAAACATCATTAAATTTTGTACGTACTGAGGAGGTACTGGACAGAAAAAGCACAGTCGTCGACGACGACTTTGCGTTCGATATTGCCGTTCACGTCACTGAATACGACGATGACATCGAACCACGGTCTCTAGCGGAATGTAAACGCAGAGACGATTGGCCAAAGTGGAACGAGGCAATAGGAGTAGAGCTGGACTCACTCTTGAAACGCGAAGTCTTTGGACCAGTAGTCCAAACACCTAAAGGTGTAAAACCTGTGGGATATAAGTGGGTCTTCATCAGAAAAAGAAATGAACACAACGAGGTTGTGCGCTACAAAGCACGGCTTGTAGCACAAGGTTTTTCCCAAAGACCGGGAATAGACTATGAAAAAACATATTCTCCGGTTATGGATGGGAATACCTTCCGATTCCTAATAAGCCTCTCATCTCTGGAAGGCCTAGAAATGCAGCTCATGGACGTTGTGACTGCATATCTATATGGCAATATAGATAAAGATATCTATATGAAACTCCCTGAAGGATATAAAATTCCACCAGAGATAGCAGATAGACCTCGGGACGTCTATTCTGTTAGGCTTCAAAGATCATTATATGGTCTTAAGCAATCGGGGAAAATGTGGTATAACAGACTAAGTGAGTTCCTTGCTACGCAAGGATTCACAAATGATAAAGTCTGCCCGTGTATCTTTATAAAAAGATCGGGAACAGGATTCATTATAGTCGCCGTCTATGTCGACGACTTAAATCTCATTGGATCTCCTGCAGAGATCGCTGGGATATCTGAAAGCCTTAAGAATACTTTTGAAATGAAAGACCTAGGCAAAACAAAGTATTGTCTTGGCTTACAGATCGAACACCTTAAGGGTGGTATCCTGTTACACCAATCCACATATACACGGAAATTACTTAAAAATTTCCGAATGGATAAATGTCATCCTCTTAGTACACCAATGGTTGTTCGATCATTGGATGTAAAGAACGACCCCTTCCGTCCGCTGGAAGAGGGGGAGGAAATGCTAGGTCCTGAAGTACCTTACCTCAGTGCCATTGGAGCACTATTATATCTGGCTAACTGTACGCGTCCCGATATAGCGTTTTCAGTTAACCTACTAGCCAGATACAGTGCAGCGCCCACAAAGCGCCACTGGAATGGAGTTAAGCATCTTCTGCGCTACCTCCAAGGGTCTATAGACCTGGGATTATATTTCCCGAAGGGTGGGTCTCCCACCTTAATTGGTTATTCAGATGCAGGTTACAGGTCTGATCCCCACACCGAGAAATCACAAACCGGATTTGTGTTTACATTCGGTGGTACGGCCATCTCCTGGAGGTCTGTCAAGCAAACCACTGTAGCAATCTCATCCAACCATTCCGAACTCCTCGCGATCCATGAAACCAGCAAAGAATGTGTTTGGCTTCGTTCTGTCATTCAGCACATCTTAGTGTCTACCGGCCTGAAGACTGGTGACCTTGAGCCAACTACCATATTTGAAGACAATGCAGCATGCGTTGCTCAACTTCAGTCTGGCTTCATCAAGGGTGACAAGACGAAGCACATATCTCCCAAGTTTTTCTGGACGCACGATCTTCAAGAGGAGGAGCAAGTTAAAGTACAGCAGATCCAATCATGTAATAATTTAGCTGACTTGTTCACTAAGACTCTGCCTAGATGTACTTTTGTAAAACTTGTAAAAGGAATAGGGATGAGACATCTGAAAGACCTACAAGCCTGAAGCTTGTATGGTTCAGGGGGAGTAACCTATGGGTTGTACTCTTTTTCCTTAGGCTGATGGTTTTTTCCCACTGGGTTTTCCACAGCTAAGGTTTTAACGAGGCAAACAAGTTTACTCTGGATCCAGAAGTATCCACCCCATTAGCTTTACGAACTCTGAAGTGTTCATAAGCTAAACCCAAGGTAATGGATGGATAAGGGGGAGTATTATGAGATGTGGGAGGCCTTTGGCCTCCCCCTCATTATCCCTCCATTCACACCCCATTAAGTGGGGGTGACTCTTGGGTACTCAACCTATTCACATTGACTATCTATAAATATACATCATAGGCCTTTGGCCTAGGTAAGGGTTTCAAACAGTAAGGAGAATTAAGGGGATCTTATTTCACCATGTTTGGGACGTCTAATAAATTGAAGGTAAGATAAGAGAATATATGTACATTTACATAAATACCTTATATGGTATTTTTTTTTCATTCTTTTGAATCTCATCTTTATATAAGGGATAAATATTTGTCTTTGTGTAATATTCTCTCTTTTTTTAAGAGTGACATTGCGCTACATTCTACTCCATCACACCTCAATTTGGGAGGAACAAAATATAAAGTTTTATCCACTTCATTACCTTAACTTCCCATTCACTAACTATCTCAAATGACTTCCAAACAACGGTAGTGTGTCCTCTACCTTCTTTTATAGAAATGTTAGGGGCACACCCCCAACCACAATCTCAACCACACCTCCTCTCCCTCTATAGTGCATTGGGCCCCACATCAAATTTGATGTGGGATCCAATGCACTATAGAGAGAGAGGAGGTGTGGTGGAGGGTGTGGTTGGGGACCACTCCTTCTTTTTACTCTATCACCCCCAATCCAAACAAGCCCTCAAAAGGCAAATAACTTTGTAAGATAATATGACAACGTTTCGAATTTTGGACAAATTTTCAAAACCGACCCCTTGGGGTTTTTATTTGCAAAAAACGACCGGTTTTGAAAATATTTACAAAAACCGACCCCAGGGACTGAAAACAGGTCGGTTTTTGAAATTTTTTTTCCCAAACTTCACGGGAGTTGAACTCCCGTGAAGTTTTTCTCATAACAAAACTTCACGGGAGTTCAACTCCCGTGAAGTTTGGGAAAAAATTTTTCAAAAACCGACCTGTTTTCAGCCCCTGGGGTCGGTTTTTATAAATAAGTTTGAAATGGGTCGTTTTTTGCAATTAAAAACCCCAAAGGGTCGGTTTTGAAAATTTGTCCTTCGAATTTTCTTTTGAGTTTTAATAATAATAAAAAGGAAACAAGAAAAATCCTTTGAGTTTAAACGGGCAACGCGCTAGAACAAATTGAACCCGACCCGAACGCATAAACAAACCCGAATTTTACAACCCTAAAACCTTGGTACTTAAAGGACTCCGTCTTCTCGCCTCCTATTCTCCGAGTCCCCGCAACTTTGCGCCCAGGACTCTAGTAAGAATATTTCCCTATTTTTTTACCCTATTTTTTTTCGCTCTCCATTTAATAACCATTAAGAGATTAGTAACTTGGGTTATGATCATACTGAGCATAATAAAATTTAGTTTGGTCTAATTTTGTTTGCTTTGTTTAGTTATCTTCTGTAGGTGAAACCCCATGAGAAACCTCTGCATCAATTTTTATGAACATGTACTTGATTATGTTAATATTGAATGGTTAAAGCCTATTTGATTTGAAAATTTGTGAAATTTGGAGGGAAATTGCTGGATTTTCTATAATTAAATTCAGTAGATAAACACTGTCGAAAGCATAAATTAACATCTATGCTTGTATGTTGCTGGATTTATTTATGAAGACTATACGCTAGTAGCAGCAAGAATGAGTTTCAGTTAGTAAAATTAGCTAATTATCAAGTTGCGTAACTTTCATTAGTTGTTATGCAAAATGCAACATAAATTAATTATCAAGTTGCGTAACTTTCATTAGTTGTTATGCAAAATGCAACATAAATTAAAAACATAAATTAAGGAAAAAAGAGAGAAGAGAGAGAGAGAGAGAGAGAGAGAGAGAGAGAGAGAGAGAGAGAGTGAGAGAGGAGAAGACATACGAAAGAGGAGAGAGGGAGTTCCCTTGAAGCAAGATGTGGAAGGGATTTCTCAAGCTTGGGAACTATAAATATTCTTTATGTCAAATGTGGAAAGAGAAACAATAATTAGACGACAATTTATGCGCTGCTTCTATAATACAATGATCTAGCGCCTTTGTTATCTGGGTACTTCTACCTTGAAGCCGTGCTCGTACCTAACACGTACCAGTTCCCGTTCCCAAACTCCTTGGACACTCCTTGCATACATGCATACATTTATCCAGGCATGTACTTAATTAAACAATACATGTTTTAATTTAGAACATTTGTCAAACATTTCCTAGACATAAATCCTACACTTCTCATCCAGTTCTTTAAACTCATTGGGTTCCAAACCGTTATTTTAATGGTCATTTCGGTGTCTAGTTCACAGAACGAGCATTTTTACAATTTATAGTCCACATAATAAAAGTAACATAAAAATATTATAGGAATTTTAATTCTCATAATACATGAACAAAAAATATTTTTCTCATGTAAACTATTAATTTCAATATAATATGTGTATATAAATATTTAATAGCCCTGTTCCTATACCATATCTTTTGCAAATTTGCCATGTCCCATAGTCGTACCCATACCGATATCCGTATCTGTACTGATATCGGTACCTGTAGGCATACCGGTATCGGTATCCATACCCATGCAACATAGGCTGGAGCTAATGTGGCATGGGTAAGGTGTATTGCATCTATTATTCTTAGCTGATAATAGAATTTCAGTTTTCAGAAGAAAAACAAACTTGTTCCATCTCCTAGCTCTTATTCCTCTTTTATTCTTTATGAAACCCATCCACAACAAACTTCACTCCTTCAATTGATCAAAAATAGTTGTTTGACGTTTTTTAGTTAGGCTAAAAAGAAAGAGAAGAAGTAGATAGCTACAAACTTCCATGTCAATAAGTTAACATACAATTAAATTTAGGCATCCATGATCATCACTTTTTAGTCACCGCCATTTTCCCCTTAGTTCTCCGCATTCTGCAACACGACATTAGTGCAAACAAATTTGACCACAAGAAAAAAAATGTAATTACCAAAGCTTCTCTTCTTTTTGTTTTCCCACATTGGAGATGTGGGCTTTTTAGAAGATGATGAAAGAGAATTAGAAGAGAATGAAGGAAAGATAAGAGCTAGAGCTGAGCAGTTTATTCCGATAACTGAAACTTTCTTTTTCCAAATGGGAGCAATGAATGCAATACAAACTCAGCAGTGGCACATCAGCACCACCTCAGTGTAGTTTCATAAGTAGTACATAAATTGTAGTACAATTATTATTTCTCAATGTGTAAATGGTACTAGGATGTCACATTCCTGAGTGGATCACTACATACCAAACACACCCTTAATTCATGATGCTAAATATTGCATAATTTTGGTTCAATCAGTTTGAAGAGCCTTTTTGTCTGGTCTGGGATATGAGAATCATTTAAGAAAATCGAACAATTTAAAGATCATCACTGGAAAATTGTCCTCAACTGTTATGAGGTGTAATTTGCCCTATACTTTTGAAACTTTGAGTTTTAATATGCTGGCAGGAGCGACGAATGGGAAGAAACGACACTTATGCCAAACTGGAAACTCCACAGGTATGAGCGTTCGAAAGGAAAGCAACATGTATGGTTTTGTATGCCCATAATTTTTACTTTTTTGTTTTCATTCACGTGGTTCAGGTTCTCTATCTTTTTACTGACCATTACCCTATTTTATGCTATAATAGGAAAAAGCCATAGTTCTCTAGTAAGTAACTCAACCTGCCATCGTTTTCTGGAAAATTAATAGTTGCCTGCACTTTTTGATGTAGACAATTGGGGATTTTTTGTCACAATGTCCTAATACTGCCTACTGTTCCTATGGGGATGTGGTTTTATTTTGAATTGTTAAGGAAGAAACTCCAACAATCTTTTTTTTTGTATATTTTTGAACCGTTACAATGTTTTCGACCTTGTTCCCCGTCAGAGTAGAAATAACTAACTTTTTACCAAGGAGCTATTCTGTTAGTTGAGCACCTATGACAAGTCCTCTCAAGTCCACCTTTTTGCTACTTTGGTCAGTGTGCCAACATCTTTGAGTATGTCAATAATGCAGGATGCTGTGAGATAATGTGATGATATCCTTCTAATTTACTTTTGTATTGTATTTGCTAGTTAACATATCACTCCAAAGTATACATGGGTTTGAAACAAATTATTATCCTTATTTATGCTCCATCATTCTATAATTTATATTATTATCATTCCTTTATATTGAATTAAAGAAGTTTGCCAAATGATGCTAGGACATTGCGCAAGGGTTTTGAGCATTTGCAAAATGCAATGAGATTATGTTATGATAATCCTGTCTGATGGCAGTTTCTAAATGTATTCTTTTTAATATAGCTCAGTTTATTATTGTATTTGACTCGTTTTAATGATGCTTAACTATCCCTCATGCTGTTTTTTATTTGGATTTTCCCCCCTTCTTTAGTTACCATGTGATTGTTTTATGTTTCTTCCTTTTGTTTAACGAAGTTGGCCAATGATGTTGGGATGTTGTGCAAGGGCTTTGAGCATGGCATATTATTGCATTATGCAATGAAACCAAACCAAGGTCATCTCTTCTGATGACACTTAATGATTCTAATTATAGTACTATGAAAATGTGAGGAATGCCTTAGCCACTTTGGTTTAGCCACTTTGGTTTAGTATAACTTTTAGTTACTGATCTCTCTGATAATGTTACTGACTATTTGTGACCTTTGGTTATGAAGATTTCACATTTATCATTTTGATGTTGTGATATCCCACAAAGGCCAAAAGTGTTGTTTTATAACATGGGCTACAAAAAGTTCCTGGTTCTCCACAGTTTGTAGTTAGACTTGCTAATAATGAATTTGTTTTAATGCTCTACTTTTGCTTTCTTGCATGTTTGAACATCCTATCTTGATTGTACCTTGCAATTTCATTCCATATGCATAATTCCAGCATGCAATATTCAGTTGAAATATACTTTGTATTTACAAAGTTGTATGTTCTTATTCTTTTGCAAGAGAGAGATAAAAAGAGAACCATCATTTTGCTTAATACTTTGTATCTGATAAATTATGAAAGTGCAATCAAGCATTTTCCTTAGACAGCGAGCTTTCTAAATGCAACTTATGTTGTTGTATGCTACATGACCTTTTAATATTTTATTGGTAATTATCAGCCTCATTAAGAAATTAGGGTAAATTCATTCTATATAATTCTGAATGTTCGGAAATTTGGAAAAATGTCTTCATTTTGAAGATGTATAACTAATTGTCATAAAGCAAAAGGAAAAGATTTCACAGGCAATGCCAGTTAACATTCTATATCAGGAAAATGGAGAAAATCACTTTCTACTGTAACCTTGGTATAATTTTCAACTTGTTGCATATGTTTTCCTCTTGGTAGGTTAATCACTTGCATTTTAACAAAAAACTTGCATCTTGGTTGATTGTAATGTGAATTAAATCCTATTGTACCCCACCTTTTATTTTATTATTATTATTGTTTCCTGTCTTTTGAATAATAAAGTCGATATTTTCCATCTTGTTTCCCTTCAGGGCAAGATCTTCTAGCATGTCATAGTATTTCAGAATGCAATGAGATAATGTGATGATATCCTTTAATGGATTTTTATATTGTATTTTCCTGGTTGCCATATCACCTCAAGGCGTATATGTAGGTTTGGAATCTGGGATAGAATTACTATCTTTATCTATGTTCCATTGTTATATTCTTATTTATTATCCTTTGTTTTGGGTTGTGGAAGTTTGCCAAATGATGTTGGGACATTGCGCAAGGGCTTTGAGCATTTGCATAATGCCGTGAGATTACAATATGATAATCCCATCTGATGGCAGTTGTTGGAATTTACCTCTGTTTAACATAACTCAATTAACTTGTTTTAAGTAATGACACTTAACTATCACACACCAGTTTTGGATTATGTAAGGTTATTCCTTCTCGATTACCATGCAAATTTTTTTTGTTTCTTCCTATTCTTTTGGTTAAAAAATTTAGCCATTGATGTTGAGATATTGCATAAGGGTGTCAAGCATATGGCATATTTTTGTGTAATGCAATGAAACCACAGCAAGACCATCCCTTCTGATGGCTGCTCATGATTTCATGATGTTCATAATGCTATGAAAATATAAGGAATGCCTTTGCCAGTTTGGTTAAGGTAATTTTTTACATATCTCC